TATCGACCCAGCTTTAAATGAGTAACAGGTAAAGCCCTGGGAAGTAAAGGTGGCTTGAATGCTGTTGACCGCATCACCTACCGAGAGCCGGTAGGTCTTCAAAATATTGATCTATCCCTTTATGCCCAATACGTCTTTACGCATGGAAACGGGTCATTTACTGAACTCTCTCTTTATTATGTGCTGAATAGCAAATTTTGAATAACTGAAATAATATAGGATATATAAGTAAATAATTAAAAATGGAACTTCTACACACGATTAGGAGCTCCTTGAAGAAATCTCTAGGGAAAGGGGAAAGGTTTCCAGCCTTCACCAAGGAGAGTAAAAAATGGGAGGGGAGGGAAAAGGGGGAGGGTGGAAGGGAGAATGGTGGGAGGCAAGGGCTCCTTGTGCCTGAACCTAGATTCGTGCCAGCCAAGTTCCCATTACCTGGTATAACACTAATCACTGCGTGTCGTGCCAGTCTGGTTCCCATTACCTGGTATAACACTAATCACTGTGTGTCGTACCAGTCTAGTCCCCATTACCTGGTATAACACCAACACTGTGTGTCGTGCAAGCCTAGATCCCATTACCTGATATAACACCAAACACTGTGTCGTGTCAGTCTTGTTCCCATTACCTGGTATAACACCAAACACTGTGTATCGTGTCAGTCTGGTTCCCATTACCTGATATAACACCAAACACTGTGTGTCGTGCCAGTCTGGTTCCCATTACCTGGTATAACATCAAACACTGTGTGTCGTGCCAGTCTGGTTCCCATTACCTGGCATAACATCAAATACTGTGTGTCGTGTCAGTCTGGTTCCCATAACCTGGTATAACACCAACCACTGTGTATCGTGTCAGTCTGGTTCCCATTACCTGATATAACACTAAACACTGTGTGTCGTGTCAGTCTGGTTCCCATTACCTGGTATAACATCAAACACTGTGTGTCGTGCCAGTCTGGTTCCCGTTACCTGGTATAACATCAAATACTGTGTGTCGTGTCAGTCTGGTTCCCATAACCTGGTATAACACCAACCACTGTGTATCGTGTCAGTCTGGTTCCCATTACCTGATATAACACCAAACACTGTGTGTCGTGTCAGTCTGGTTTCCATTACCTGGTATAACATCAAACACTGTGTGTCGTGTCAGTCTGGTTCCCGTTACCTGATATAACACCAAACACTGTGTGTCGTGTCAGTCTGGTTTCCATTACCTGGTATAACATCAAACACTGTGTGTCGTGTCAGTCTGGTTCCCGTTACCTGATATAACACCAAACACTGTGTGTCGTGTCAGTCTGCTTCCCATTACCTGATATAACACCAAACACTGTGTGTCGTGTTAGCTGGTTCCCATTATCTGGTATAACACCAAACACTGTATGGCAGCAATCAGTAATGAAATTATACAAATTTTTCTGTCTTTTAAAAGGTCAAACGTAATAAAGGACATAAAGATTAAAACAAGGAAGCATTTGTTAAAACATATCATATATTGAAACACAATTGCTGAATTCAAACTGCGCGGAGCAAGTTCCATGATTTTTGAGTTGAACTGAATCAAGAACCGACCTCGTAACACTCGGGATATTCATGTACGCGCTCCGTTCTCATCTTCATCAGTCAGCGAAGAGTTCCGATTCTGAGAAGCAGTTTGATTATTTAGCTGTCTTGCCTTTTCAATGCGCGTAGAGGCCATTCAGCCACATTAGCTCCACACCATGATGATGTTTTGTATGTCTTTTTTTCCCCTCTGTTTGCACAGATCTCATTAACAACAAGACGTTGGTGTGAAGGTGGGTTTGCTTTAGCAAAATAGGCAGTTATATCTGAGTGAAACAGTTGTTTTCTCAGAATAATTCATTTATTTGCTTCACTAGACTCACGTGTTACTGCAGTAGGCACCTGACAAGGTACGTCGAAATATGCCTCAGTAAATAGTGCAGCCTTAAGTTGGTGTCTTCTGTGTCCAAATTTACAACGGGGAAACAATGCGACAATTATACAGTTCATAATTTCATGTATAATAATAGAACACACACACACGCGAGCGCGCGCACACATACATAGACACGTACACAATCCGCAATCTTTTAACCATACGAGTGACATTTTTAAACACCTTGTACAATGCAAGAAATGTCAGAAATCAGTGGCGTAGGAAGGTTGTGCGGGTGCCCCTTGTTTCATTACTTGGGGGGGGGGGGGGGGTCAAAACGGCAAAAATATGTGGTTTTCATATATATATATATATATATTTATGCCAAGGCTAGTAGTGCCGTCACACTGAACGGAATAAGTAGGAAGTTAGTTCCGAACAACAGTAGGAGTCCGTCAGGCCTGCCTGCTCTTCCCAACACTGTTTAATATCTTCTAAGAAAGAATTATGAATGATGCCCTAGTATAACATCATGGAACAGTTAGTATCGGAGCTCGAACTATAACACACTTAATGTTTGCAGATGACATCGATGGGTTGGCCGGGGGAGAATAAGAGCTTGTCGTGCTTGTAAATATGCTCGATGGAACATCGACCAAGTATAGCATGGAAATAAACGCCGGAAAAAGTAATGACTAATAATCCAGCTTTCATAACTTCAATAATGTACGTTAAAGGTCACAAACTAGAACAAGTCAATCATTTCAAATATTTAGGATCCATTTTAAGTGACCTGGGGTTAAGACCAGAAATGATATCTAGGACTGCACAGACATCAGTCCTTGCCAAGCAGCGAACATTATGGAGATCTAAAAACATTTCATACAAAACTAAGATTCGATTGCTCAGAGCGCTAGCTATTAGTACATTTACAAATGGCAGTGAAACAGCACAATAGCAACTAGAAACCTCTTTTAACTACAGTGAAAAGGCGAAAAATGCAATGGTATGGACAAGTAATAAGATTTAACGTCCTCTCAGAAACAACACTTCAGGGCTCAGTAAAGAGAAAGAGAAAAAGAGGCAGACCAAGATAGACTTCGTTACAGAATCTGACTGGACAGGCCACAGGTATGTAACCATGAAAGCCATTCCCCAAAGGTGGAGAGATAACTGATGAGTCAGTAGAAACTGGTGACCCAACACAGTGTTACGGATGATATATATATATTTTATATATAAATATATATATATATATATATATATATATATATATATATATATATACGTTTATTTAAATGTATATTTATATATATATATATATATATATATATATATATATATATATATATATATATATATATATATATATACGTTTATTTAAATGTGTGTCTGTGTGTGTGTGTGAGTGGGGGGGGGGAGGGGGTGACAAGACATGTTCCGCACCGGGTACCACCTGAGCTAACAACGCCACTGCCAGAAGTTTGCACACTCTAAAACGTTGCGCTGTCTGTAACTTATGTCAGTTCAGCGCAGTACATTAAAGTGTTCTTATGAGACAATGTAGTATATTTAATATTACAAATATATAAATTAATGCATGAGTAGCAAGTAAAATAAAACCTTATAATTTATAACTGAAATAGCTTTCTTTGACCAAGTTTGCATTTTCTGTCTTTTTATCACACAGATTTACACGAGAGGTTTTAGTAACCTTTCGCCAAACATACAAGTGGTTTCGTGACTAGATTTTATTAGAACATTAATTATACACTATGAAACACCAAGTCTGTATGATAAACTGAAATCGTAAATAAATGAAAACAATGTCATATTTACAGCAAGACTGATTGTTATGGATTTCTGACAAACAACAAATAAGCGGCAAGACTAGTTTGTACATTCATTGTAGACGAAAATATTTGTTAAACATATCATCTCAGTGACTATTGTCAGTTATTATTTACTGGTCTAAAGCGCTGTGAGTGACGCTTCATAAAAGATCTTTGTTTTCATTTTTTTCTGACACCATGAATATTGAATCATCTTCTCGCCCACTCTCGAGTCTCTCTCTCTTTCTCTCTCTCTCTCTCTGCATCCCTCTCTGTATCCATCTCTCTCTCTCTCTTTCTGCATCCCTCTCTGTATCCATCTCTCTCTCTCTCTCTCTCTCTCTCTCTCTCTCTCTCTCTATATATATATATATATATATATATATATATATATATATATATATATATATATATATATATATATATATATATATATATAATATCTTTCTTTGTCTGAAGCAAATACATAAAGTAGAGTGTTTAATTTGCTCGTCTTTGACATCAGTAGGTCCTCAGATTTGGTCGTTTCACGCCTTGTTGCTCCCTTTGTTTCTCTTGTATGATCAAATGTTATTTTTTTTTCTTTTTTTTCTTTCCTGTTTTCATTTCTCGGATACAACCACTGTTTCTTTCTTCCTTTCTCCCTTTGTTTATCAGATACAACCATTGTTTTTTTCCCTTTCTTCCTTCGTTTATCGGATACAACCATTGTTTCTGTCTTCGTTTCTCCCTTCGTATAAAGGATACAAGCACTGTTTCTTTCTACCATTCTCCCATTTTTTCTCTGATACAACGGACTGTTTCTTTCTCCATTTTTTTCTTGTTTCCCAGACACAACCACTGTTTTCTTCTCCCTTTCTCTCTTTGTTTGTCTGATACAACAACCACTGTTTCCTTCTCCCATTTCTCCTTTGTTTCTCTGATACAACCACTGTTTCCTTCTCCCTTTTCTCCTTTGTTTCTTTGATACAATCACTGTTTTCTTCTTCCTTCTCTCCTTTGTTTCTTTGATATAACCACTGTTTCCTTCTCCCATTTCCCCTTTGTTTTTCTTGTACAACCACCATTTCCTTTGCTCTTTCTTTCTTTATTCTCGGATACAGTCACTGTTTCATTCTCCCTTCCTTTTTTTCCCTCTCGGATGCAACCAATGTCTCTTTCTCACTTTCTCTCCCACCCCTTTCCCTGATACAATCACTGTTTCTCCTTTCTCATTTCTTCTTTTTCTGTCTCTAACAACCTACGTACCGTATGCTCTTTTTCGATTCTCCTTTCTTTCTTCTCCACACTTTTACCACCATTACATGTGAACACTCCTTCCTTTACCACCTGTCTATCCTCAAATTCACTAACTGCCATTATTTAATTATTAATTATTGACAGTCACCGACATTTAAATATTTAATTAACTCTCTCTCTCTCTCTCTCTCTCTCTCTCTCTCTCTCTCTCTCTCTCTCTCTCTCACACACACATCCACCCACACACATAACGCTATGATGTAGTTCCTTCATTCATATTTTATCAGTGTACCATAGTCAAGATTTAAAACATGCATTAACATTGATGAAATAAAAAATTATCACTGAATTATACAGTTGATCAATGCATCACCCACTTCATTTGTAACAAACGAAGCGCAAAAAATATCAACACAGTACCCTTCTAATTAAGGGTTTACAATGAAGAAATCTCGTTGGTGAAGAGGTTTAGGACCATCCAGTTTGACAAATTGTGTGTGTGTCCCCTTAGTAGGACAAATTTTAGCATACACACCCAAAGATGTGTCAAGCAAGCAGGGTGCATTAGAAAACATGACCCAATTGATAAAAGTCTTTGCAGACAAGGCTTGCAGATAGAGACACCAAAGAAGGCAAGTTAATAAGTTAGCTGTATAGTCTTTAGGGCAGTGGTTCTCGCACTTTCTAATTCTGCGGCCCTTTAATACAGCTCCTCATGTTGTGGTGAGCCCCAACCATAAACATATTTTATTTCCTACTTCATCACTTCAGTAAATGTATTTTCCGATGGTCTTATGCGACACCTGTGAAAGGTTTTTTTTTTCTAAAGGGGCCGCTAACCACAGATTGAGAACCTCTGCTTTAGGGGATTCCCTGAAACAATTCCAGCATATGTTTTCTGATTGAGGTTTTACTAGGCAATGCTACGTTACGTAGTTGGTCACTACTGCTGGACGGTTGACTAATGGACTTCCCATGGCCTAATAATATTGTCAAAATCAGCGCAAAGCAGTCTGCTGCAGTAGTGCCTGAAGCTGATCAAAACAGATATTTTGAAATAAAGAAACTGCATTTATTAACATTAGGCTACAGCCGACAAAGAAAAATAAGTCAGCCAAAGAACATAAAATTTACAATTCTGTTCTTCTTTTCCAGTGATCAATATGAGGCCAAAATAACATATAATCTCTGCATTTTAACACACACACACACACACACACACACACACACACACACACACACACACACACACACACAACGACAATGATTAACAACAATATTATCTATATAAATGGCAACCACAGCGTTACATAGAATAATAGTAGATTCATAAATGGATACAGGTTTTCATGCCATTTTCTACTCCATTAGTTGAAAGCCAGAATACAGCTGAATTCTAGAAATAACATGAATTATAGTTTTCGGTGTTTTCATCTATTTCTGGTATTAACATTGGTTTGAAAATCGGATATTTTCACCATATTTATTTTTCTTAACGTCTAATGTTTGAGCTTCGATATTTCCCTATTAGAAAAATCTGTAAATCTCCCACAAAAGAAACTAAGGACAACTGAAAGGACACAGGTCACGATTAAGGGGCAGCTTACATGAGAAATAATGTTTCTTATGACACACCAAGTTTGGTTCTAATGAGTTAATGTTAGGTTTGTGTCCTCTAACAGGACATTGCAGAACAAAACTTCACATTTTGTCTTTGCTGTCTGTGATTCCGTCCAATTTTAAGTCCAGCAGTTGCCCTCTGCTTACTGTCTGGTCGGCTCTGGATACCGCTATTGGAACCAACGGATGGCGTCCTTCTGCAAAATAGCCCAAAGCCGGGGATCGAGCCCAGCACCACGGAAATAGGAAGCGTATTTGCATCGCCTACGCCCTAGACGCCAGCGTCTGTAAGAATGTTATAGTCTACTTAAGTATGAAATGCATATCAAAAAGATAATTTTGTAATTACATGCTTTGTTTTCTCGATAACAAACACATTTTTTATATTCGACTTATAATCTTACGTTGTTCTACAATTTAACATAAGATGGAAAACCACCCCAAGACCATTGTTTAAAAAAAAAAAAAAATCACAAATGCTTGAAGTCAAAGCACACACAAATATACCCGGTGGAAAAGAACATCATTTGCGAATTGTCATAATGTTGACAAATGGTGGAAGACGAGGTAGAGGGAATACCACATGATTAAGTTCCTTGGCGACATCAGGAGTGCTGGAAGGCAACTGTTGGGGCTGCTTGCCAAGTCGCTGGACTGAAAGTTGTCGTTAATGTTACTTTGCGCCCTCAGCGTGGTACCAGAGTTACTGTTGCTGTTAGCAACTGTGGAAATAAAAAAGATACAAAGTGATGAGTCGCCATGCGAGACAGAAGAGATAGAAATGTGTCTTGTTTCAAAACGACCAAAACTATGACGAATGAGGTAGTGAAAATGTAAAGTTAAAAATATATATATATATATATATATATATATATATATATATATATATATATATATATATATATATATATATATATAAATCAATGTTTGTGTGTTTGTTTGGTCTCTATAGACTCGGAAACTACTGAACCGATTTAGCTGAAATTTTCAGGATATGTTTGTTGTGATACCGGATTTTGAACCGTCGTGGTTTGAAATTCAACCTGTCACTGCTAGAGATAGGTGACCACAATTTATGCAAAAATATGCGCAACTAATATTTATAACTTTAGTGATTTCTAATTATAGCCACGTTAGTAATTGCGCATGCGCCGTATTTACCATTCGCCGGCGAGTTACGTGCAGCCAACGCCTTCTCTAATACTAATACATAGAGTAGGTCGTGGTACAGCAAACAAGACTATCTCTATATTTGCCACAATAACCATTTTAAACACGATTTCTATTTTCTGTTTTTTTTTTCAAACAACCTTCGATGGTGGGGGGGGGGGGGGGGGGGGGGGGGGGGGGGGGGGGGGGGGGGGGGGGGGGGGCAATCGAGGACTATCTCGACGTCGGCGCAGACAGTGACTGCGACATTAACTTCATTAACCATGTTAGACACGTGCGATTTCTATTTCATTAATATATCCGGGGTATCTGTATACGAGAAAACAATTGCCTGCGGTTTTGAATTATGTTTTAATCGCGACACAGTGGTAGGGACACATATGTCTAATAGTTGTGTTCTCTTTTCGTTGTTCCGATTAAGTGGCTGCTTGGTAGAATGGTTAGAACACTGGGTTCAAGGACGGTAGACCTGGGTTCGAATCCGCAGTAGTTAAATTTTTTTTTTTACCCCGGACTAAAATAATATCCTCATCTGCTCTGTCGTGGTGACAGCACTAGCCATGTTGCCTTAAAAAAAAAAAAAACAAGTAAATGGGTAAACCATTTGATAATTAAATTTGACCATTTCGCATACTTATAATTGCATTGTTAAACTTTCCGATTGCATGGTTACGCTGAAATTTTATAGATTTTCATTTATTTTCATTTAGATTTAGTTATTTCATCTGTGTTGGAATTTTAAGCTGTGCTGTTTACAATGGCGTTCATTTCATAATTATGGTGTTTTTTTCCTGTGTTCATTTGCTTTTCAAGTGTTTTTTTTTAAAGCCCTATTCACTCCCTTTTACAATTCCTGCTCCTTATTTTAGTCCAGATGGACAGGGATGTCAATGTCAGTTACAGCAACAACAAAATATCGCCAGTTAGTGATTTTCAAATCCTTCGAAGAGGGAGAGAGCAGTAGTCGGTGGAAGAGGGGAGGGGAGGGGGTAATGACTTAAATTTAAGAGAACTTAAAGAGCTTTACACGTGATTTTCAAGTTCTCATTACCTAATTTGTTTATATTTTACTAACGCTACCTCCGCTTTTCTATTTTTTACGACTTACTTTGTTATTTACAAGTACAGTTGTAGCTTTACTTCCGTCTCCTAAAAAAATACAAACAGCTTTAGCATGTGATAACCAAATAACCACTTTTGTTACCATGCTAATAACACCATTTAAACGACCACTAATATAAAGACACAATTATATGGTGCGTATATTTGCCACAATAACCATATTAAACACGATTTCTATTTTTTTTTTTTTCAAACAACCTTCGATTGGGGGGGGGGGGGGGGGGGGGGGGGGCAATCAAGGACTATCTCGACGTCGGCACAGACATTGACTGCGTCATTAACTTCATTAGACAGGTGCGATTTCCATTGTCTTTCTTTTCTAAAAACCTTTGATGAGGGAGAGGGTACTAGGTGGATTTAGTTGTGGGGGTGGGGGTGGGGGGGGGGGGATCAAAGACTATCTCAAATTACGCCACAGCAACGCCTGGCCGGGTACAGCTAGTATATATATATATATATATATATATATATATATATATATATATATATATATATATATATATATATATATATATATATATGGTGAAAAAAGATCCCTTTTCATGTCTCTAGGCGTACCGGGTATTTGGGAAGAGCACCCATATTTTTGCAGACCATGATACTAGGTGGGTAATGTGGTCAGCATTACGCCGGATCTATTTACTTCCCCAGGACAGAAATCCTGGTACCCGTTTTAGGCTGGGTCGACCTGCGACGCTCATACCATGATAAAAATCCACACAGCCAGAAGTGGGTTTCGATCGTGGTACGCTGGAATTACGAGTCGGACTCGCAACGCCCAGGCCAGGGACGCCGAGGTAAAAATGTACCAATAATAATTATATTTAAATCATAATTATTTTTAAATAATAGTTTATATCATGACAGAATACCTAGTAATCTAGCGGGCCCTAGCTCGTCTACCAATGACATGTCAACTGCGACCTCTAGCGGCAGACAAAAGGCATTGTTTAAATACAGAAAAAGATCACAGTGATGACGCAGTTTGGGAGGACACAAGAGTAGACCCACACTGTCCACTAACAAGCACGTAATAAGAATAGGCTAATTATGAGTTTTTAGAATCTAATGCTGGGCCCAAAGGCGCTTAGATTTTACACTCATCAGTAAACCACAACTTTACACGCTTATGCACTTTTTAAGGAGAAGGCAAAAGAAAAAATAGCGGAGTCCGTGGCTTAGGTGTTGCGAGCCCGACTCGTAAGCCAGCATACCACGATCGAAACCCACTGCTGGCTGCGTGGATTTTTATCATGGTATGGGGCGTCGCAGGTCGACCCAGCCTAAAATGGGTACCAGGATGGGCTGTCCTTGGAAAGGCAAATGTGTGAAAAACACAAGAAGAGAAAACTACACTAAATACACTAAAAACGTTAAATTTTAAGCATTAAAACACCAAACTATATGATTTTGGGAGGGGGAAAAAAAAAAAGGAAACAAGACAAATGTGTGGAGAAAATGTACCTGCGTACAAAAGGTTTCAGAATTAAAGAAGAGATGCAGCTTTCTGAATAATGCAGAAGAAATAGAGTTTAGGAGGTAGAGATCTGCTTCTCTATGTTCCCCATTGAGAAAGTTGGTAGTAGCTTCCGGCTGAAACCATAATACAATTTATCCGCCTCCCTTTAAGAGCAAAGGTAGAAGCAGAAGGAAAACCTTTTATGACGTAATGACTTACTTGTTTAGGGACAGTAGATCCTTTCTTCTCCCCTCCCCCTTTCCTAACTGAAGCCCTAGAGCTCACAAGGAAAAGGCAAATATATAAGGCAAGATGCTCCCGTGGGTGGGTTCCGGGGCTCCATTGTGAAGATAAAAAATATACCCACTAAACCACAGCTAACCACCCCGACCCCTCTTCGCCCCCCCCCCACCCCCCGCCACCCTCGCCAGCCTCCTCCTCCCAAGGCATATCGTTGGAGTCGACTAATTAGCGATGTTTTCCTTCAATGTCGGAGTGCATCTGCCCGAGAGTCAAGAAACCGACAGTCTGCACATGACTAAGCACAAATCACTAAAACGGATGGGCAAGCAAAACTCACTTCTGGATCAAGACGAACATTCAGGACTGGGCGCGTAGTCGGAACTTTCCATTGGAGTTTACAACAGGTTAATGCCGAGAAGAAGAAGAAGAAGAAGAAGAAGAAGAAGAAGAAGAAGAAGAAGAAGAAGAAGAGGAAGAAGAAGAGGAAGAAGAAGAAGAAGAAGAAGAAGAAGAAGAAGAAGAAGAAGAAGAAGAAGAAGAAGAAAAAGAAGAAAAAGACAAAACAAGGCTGTGATTTATGAGAGGACAGCACAGAACGGAGAAGAAACACAGAAGCCACTTACATGCGGTTAGCGTTTGGTTTCTTGTATGTACGTCGATGTATGATCTAACTCCTCGACCAGTTCTTGTCTTGGCCAGGACATGAAACCGGTACCGATGATTGGGCTTCAGATTGTTAATCCTCGCTTGTAGTCTAAATGGAGTGTTGGCCTGAGACTGGACAGTAGTCAGTGACCCCACATAGGTTTCATGAACTGAAGTAATAAGCAAAAGCAAAGTAGAGTATCTGCTTTTTCGAGTAACTGATTTACAGTAAAAACAAGTACAGTATAAAACCATTTTTTACCAGTTGAGTATAGGTTGTACTATCTGTTTTTTGACGTACTGCTTTTGCCGTAGAGCGACGCAGAGAGGAGATAGATATAGTTTCTTGTCTGGCTGACTCTGTCTCTTCTTGTGTTCCCCGTCACATTTCTTATACATTTAATCTCACATGTAATTTTGCGTTTATGTTTTTTTTAGGTCGGACATTTCCTATACATCTCATCTCACATGTAATTTTGCGTTTATGTTTTTCTAGAACTGTACATTTCTTATACACGTCATCTCACATGTAATTTTGCCTTTATGTTTTCTAGGAATGTACATTTCTCAAACACGCCATCTCACATGTAATTTTGCGTTTATGTTTTTCTAGGACCGTAAATTTCTTATACACGTCATCTCTCATGTAATTTTGCCTTTATGTTTTTCTAGGACCGTACATTTCTTATACACATCATCACACATGTAATTTTGCTTTTATGTTTTTTTAGGACCGTATATTTCTTATACATTTTATCTCACATGTTTTTCTAGGACCGTACATTTTTGGCATTGATAGCACCAATTTTTTAACGAACAGCGTGTTTATCAACTGCTTTTGTGTGTGCATGTTGATGGATATTTGATGACAGTTTCACACTTTTAAAGATTTATTCGGTACTACGCGGGTTGTATGGTCAACATCGTGCCGACGGCCTTCACTTCCCATTCAAGGCTGGATGGACATCAAGGGCAAGGTCTGTTCTGACATAGATTCCACTGGGTGAGAGTTCGAGCCCACGTCCTTCTTCAACAGAGCATCTAGCCACTACACTACCGTGGCCTCATATCGATACACAGTGCTGACCCCATACTTTTGCAGATCAGTCGACACATCATGGATTCATTAAAAAACTGAAGTTACTCCGGCAGGTCGCGTGCCTATCGTGAACTTTCGGCGACCAAACAAACGATGGATAGAGAGAGAGAGAGAGAGAGAGAGAGAGAGAGAAGAGAGAGAGAGAAAAGAGAGAGAGAGAGAGAAAAGATAGAGAGAGAAACGAGAGAGAGAGTAAAGATAGAGAGAGAGAGAAAAGAGAGAGACAAAAGAGAGAGAGAAGAGAGAGAGAGAAAAGAGAGAGAGAGAGAAAAAAGAGAGAGAGAAAAGAGAGAGAAAGAGAAGAGAGAGAGAGAAAAGAGAGAGAGAAAAGGGAGAGAGAAAAGAGAGAGAAAAAGAGAGAGAGAAGAGAGAGAGAGAAGAGAGAGAGAGAAAAGAGAGAGAGAAGAGAGAGAGAGAGAGAAAAGAGAGAGAAAAGAGAGAGAGAAAAGAGAGAGAGAAAAGAGAGAGAGAGAGAGAAAGAGAGAAAATAGAGAGAAAAGAGAGAGAGACAAGAGAGAGAGAGAAAAGAGATAGAGACAAGAGAGAGAGAAAAGAGAGAAAAGAGAGAGAGAGAAAAGAGAGAGAGAAAAGAGAGAGAGAGAGAGAAAAGAGAGAGAGAGAGGAGAGAGAGAGAAAAGAGAGAGAGAAAAGAGAGAGAAAAGAGAGAGAGAGAGAAAGAAGAGAGAGAGAAAAGAGAGAGAGAAAAGAGAGAGAGAAAAAAGAGAGAGAGAGAGAGAAAAGAGTGAGAAAAGAGAGTGAAAAGAGAGAGAAAAGAGAGAGAGACGAGAGAGAGAGAGAGAAAAGAGAGGAAGAAAAGAGAGAGAGAGAAGAGAGAGAGAGAGAAAAGAGAGAGAGAAGAGAGAAAAAAGAGAGAGAGAAAAGAGAGAGAGAAAAGAGAGAGAGAAAAGAGAGAGAGAAAAGAGAGAGAGAGTGAGAAGAGAGAGAGAGAAGAGAGAGAGAAGAGAGAGAGAAGAGAGAAGAGAGAAGAGAGAGAGAGAGATAAAGGTGAGAGAGAGAGAAAAGAGAGAGAGAGAAAAGAGAGAGATAGAAGAGAGAGAGAGAGAAAAAAAAGAGAGAGTGAGAGAGAAAAGAGAGATAAAGAGAGAGAGAGAGAGAGAGAAGAGAGAGAAAAGAGATAGAGAAAATAGAGAGAGAAAAGAGAGAGAGAGAGAAAAGAGAGAGAGAAAAGAGAGAGAGAGAAAAGAGAGAGAGAGAAAAGAGAGAGAGAGAGAAAAGAGAGAGAGAGAGAAAAGAGAGAGAAGAGAGAAGAGAGAAGAGAGAGAGAGAGAGAAGAGAGAAGAGAGAGAGAGAGGAAAAGTGAGACCATTTGTATTTCACTAGAACAATATTTGTGTGTGTGTGTGTGTGTGTGTGTGCGTGTGCGTGTGCGTTTGCGTGTGCGTGCGCGTGCGCGTGTGCGTGTGCGTGTGCGTGTGCGTGCTTGATTGTGCTTGATTGTATGTTGATGTACTCGTAATTATGTATTAACGCCCATGACGAGATTCAGCGACAGTGCCTGGCGATAAATTGTGCAATGTGTTATTTGTTGCCGGCGTTTGTTAAGGTTAGCACACACACACACAATAATAATATTATTAATGAAAACATTGATTTGGTCGTCATGGTTGTTTATGTTGTAAGCATCACGTCAGCCACATTTGCTTCACAGCCATTTCCTGGTATCTATGCTAAGCCTATGTCGACCTTGGAGGCAAGGTCAATTTAAAAATCCACCTGCACTGTGATTAGAACCCACAATCTTGGCTAGCCTGGGAACACTGAGCCACCACTGCGCCACCACGGATTGCTCGTGAAGAAAGGGTAATCAATAACTTCATTTTGAATATGATTTGATTTGATTTGATTCAAGAACCGACATCACAGCACTCGGGGCATTCCCATAAGCGTTCCGTCCCCATCTTCAGCAGCCAGCGAAGAGTTCCGATACTAATGGTGCCAGTAGCATAATAATTGAAAACTGTCTTTGTTGTGGGTATTTACCATTTACAGCAAGGAAAAGTGGGGGTGGGGGTGGGGGGGGGGGGGGAGTTTTAGCTCAGGATTTAAGGTCGCGAGGTCAGTGCAGTTGCCATGCTTTTTGTAGGTTAGAACTTGTGGTTTTACCCCCGACAGGTACAAATCTCCACCCGTTACCAATGTTCGAATCCGTGTCTCCCACACGAAAAATCCAGTGCCCTTACGACTCGGTCAGCAACTCTTTTGGAATGTTAATTGGAACCAATTATTCCAAAATAATATTTACATTACGATCCGCCATTTGCTTGCGGTTTGACACGACAGTGTGCTAATATATATTCAGTAATGGCAGAGGAAAGTGAAGACATCCAACATTTAGTATTACAAAACCGCTACTGGATGTGATCAATGTCGAATATTTCTAAATCATTTTCGTACACATTCAGACCTCAACGTAGAAATATTTCAAGGAATCCCTAATCGATCTGAGTGTTGCTGACATCTTCGTATGCTTGTACTCAGTCGTGAAAAAGACAAAAAGTTGAGTACGTAAGGAAAAGACTTTTTTTTAAAGCAACTGATGCATCGAGCATCTAGTAAGTATTGTAAAGAACCATTTCCCATGATTCAGGCTTATTGGGAATATAAGACTAGGCCTGAATTTTGTAGGCAATATGTGGTTGATGAGGTCAACATATCACCAGTCGCCTTTACTTTCCTGGTACCAATTTAAGGCTGAGTTGATCTTGGTCATTTTTGAAAGAAGTCGGGCTTTGTCAGTACCTGAACACGCGACCTTCGGTTCAGCAGGCGAGCGTCCAGGCACTACACCACTGTGACCTATGTCTGGGCCTCTAGTGTTAGAACTATACGTTTGAAAGCCCACTCATCACACGATGGCTGCTGTGGTTAACTTTACGCCGACAACATTTACTTTCCAAGCCATTACTCGGATCAAAATTTAGACTGCATTGAACTTAAAGCTTATGTCAATTTGGAAACAACAAAAAAGTTCCTGATCATTGTGAATTGTTTTTCTTCTTCTCTGTTCACCGGTTGTAAGCTCTGGCGGAAAGCTGTGGTTGATTGACTTTGGCTTTGTATTAGGGCCTGAGTGTAACTTGTACATACGTTTTTGCTAGCTTATTTGTATGCTGGTGGCTGTTTCTTGTCGCTCGGTCAGATGCACTCCGACTTTGAAGAAAGATCCCACTGAGTCAGCGCCTACAACATGCTTGCCGGGAGATAGTGGGTCTATACTTGTTTTTCCCAGACTAGGGCCCCGGAACCCACACGGGGAATTGTTAACTCAAGCCCTAAATTGTCAAGTCAGCAGCCCAGTCTCTAGCAATACGTTAATATGGCATGTCATGGAAAGTCAGCGACTGTGGCTTAGGCGTTGCGAACCAGGTTTGTAATTCCGAGATACCCTGTTTGATCCCTGCAGAGGGCAATTTGGGAGCAGATGGCCTTGCGTTGACTTCGACTATGGTATCGAGAGCCGACCGTGCAGTAGCATTAGAAACTACTGGACGTAAAACTGCCTTTTAAACATCACAAACAGCGATTACTGCTGGGACCTGTTCCGCAACGTCGTGTACGGGATACGAGACTGACTTCTTTTATGAACTTTAAGACAAAGTAATAAATACACCTAAATAGGAACATGTTTCTAAAAATCGCTACATGTAGTCTGCGTTTTTAGACAGCTTTCAGAAGTTGCACTTCAACTCCCTCACCTTGATCTATACACCTGGGCATACAAGAATGAAAGACATTGAACGAGCGGATTAACTGCCGTGTCACTAATACAAGCAGGAAGACACACAGAGTTAATGTAATCAAAGATGTGCTGACTTGCCTGGTGGATAATGAACAGACTCTGACGCTACCCAGACTACATGCACTGGAAGTACAGCAATAGAGTTACAAAGGAATAGCAACTGCAACAAAGGAATTAGCACGCTCATTAATTAGGCCAAATGGCATTGTGTCGTGATAACATATCATCAGCTACTTTGATATGGCTGCCGCATCAGATACTGAGCAGGCATAAAAATGACACAAGTGCAGTGAGGTCGATTGTGACAAAATAACATAAACAAATTACGTAGATAAAAACACATACCAATCTGGTAGCCGATGTCGTATCCTGTGAGGATTCCATTGGGCCGTTCAGGCGGTAGCCATCGCAAGGTAACGCTGTCGTGGGTCACAGAGTCTGCGAAGAGTCCTTGTACCGCAGTAGGTGCTGATGACATTAAAAAAACAAATCTGTAATAACGAACTTACAAGACTCTCGATAATATGCGAAGTAAAAAGCAAAAGTGGTTAGACCCAGCTCCAAGAACATCTCCACCCATCTGTTCCTGTTTGACTTCTGACGGAATGAAAAAGCGGCTATTGTGGGTGCGAAAGACAGCTACAGGAAGAGTCGCACCGGACAAAGTAGATATGGAGACAGTATGAAGACCATTTATGAACCAATGCTTCAAGCAAAACAGCAAATGATTAACAGCATTTTTTCCCTACTTTATGTTATCAGTGCCAAAAATGGACAATGAATACGGCACTAGAACATAAAATAACTACATGTGAAATGATGCGCTATCTCCATAAGGTCACTAACAACACTTGAAGAGACAGGGTTACGAATACCAGCATTGGAGAGAACGTTCAGATAAGACCATGCCTGTTTTATTTTGACAGACAATGAGTGATAATGCAGCCAGACTAAATTGTATATGAGATCTTTTACAGCAGAACATATGTGAGGAAGGCGAGAGGAAGACCAATCAAGAAATGGATAGAAGAAGAATAGGATGATAGAAGATATGGGGATATGGGGATATGGGATACGATAGATTAAATGGTATTGAAAGAATGCGTGACTTTAAAAATAGGAACGGCAACACATACCATCTACACTTTTTCAGTCGCAAGCAACGCATGATGTATGACTGACTCTTTGTCATAAAACTCAACCATAGTGCAGTGTGTTCATATATATTTTACGGTTAGTCAGATAACACTACAGAACCCTGTCTACACCTAGTGGTCACTTCTTCGGTGCATTTAGTATGTTTAGAAGTTCTATAGTTATGACATTTCGTAGTGATGGGTCTGTTACAAAATCTATTGGGACTGGAAGAGTTCAGATGTTTGTTTCGGGAGATAGAGCAGCTAAGAATATGCCCGGTGTGCCATGATGTTGATTCTTAAATTAATAAGTAAGTATAATAGATATATTGAGGGTCACGGTAACGCAGTGATAGATACTGCCCTGCGACAGGAAGGTTTCGGCTGAAGTCACAGTCATGATGTTTTTTCTTCTTCTTATAACTGACCTTGGTTCCCAGGTGAACTCGGCCTAAACATGGGTACAATAATATTTTATGGAAAGTAAAGGCGGCTGCGTGATACTAAACACCTTACCCATTGACAGCACCTGTTTAATGCTGTCTGATGTCCGTGGTTACGTTAAATGGGGTCAGCATTAGATCATTTCAACAATTAAATTACGAAATGAAGATAAATTATTGCTCTTAAAATGTTTACTGTGGAGATGATCCAGTTCATTACATTAGAATTTATCTTATATGATCTTTCTCCGCATAACGATTACCAATCTGCCGATAGTGTCTCATTAGGCACGAGCTCAATAGCTCCAACAACGATCTTATACGTGTGACCGTAGGTATTTAATCGACAATAGGTATGATCCGCAGGCGAGCTTTTAGCCGTTTCACCAAGCAGGCTCTCAATAATTTTTGTAGCAATAATAAATCTGCCTGTTTCAACTTCACAATAACTCCTAGACCAGAATATTTCACGGTGACACCGGTACGATGCGCCCTCGTAGCTACCATAGCAGTCTACTGGGTTGTAGTAAAGCTCCCTAGCCCAAACAGAGCGTTAGTGGGCTTTCATTGATGCTTGCTAACCTTTCACTGGCGCTAGTCTGTTAGAGGGGATCCACGTTTTATTCTGTTATGTATATATTGGGCGTCCTGTGAGCGACCAGATACACGGCGTGTTTTACGCGTTGGTCTGAGCGGAGGCGACATTGCATATTTTCTAACCTTCTCGGTCTTAAACGCGAAATTTACTTCACTTGTCACAGCAAAATGTTAACTATTCTAAAACCACGAGACGTACGCTGCAGTCTCACGAGCGTGGGATTAGGGCCAGTATAGATCTTCTGGAGTCGTTAAACGAGATCACCTCGGCGTCTTCACCGGTGAGAGCGTCGTAGACAATACAACCTGACAACCCTGTAACAAAAAGTCGCGTGTGAAGGGTCAGCAAGCATGAATGAACGACCAATCACGGTGTGTCTGGGCCTAGAATCGTTACTAGAACCGTCTGTTGGTATAGGGCTACACAGTACTTGCCCCAATCCCAACAATCCATTATTTTATTCCGTTACCTTCCCTCTCCATTCAAGAAAAGCCAGTGTATCAGATTTGAAAGGAGGAACATTTCACCTATACAGAATAAACATGACTTAGGTTAAGAGCGGGAGTCGCGTTGGTGTAGCAGCTAGATGCTTGCCTGCGGGTCGAACGGTAGTGGGTTTAGGTGCTGACGGAGGCAGGTTTTTTGAAAAAGTGATCTTTGGCTTACAGGCCGATCCAGCCTTAAGCGGGTAAGAGGTGCATTTCTGGGAAATAAAGGCGACCGGCGTGATGCTGACCACATCACCCTTCAAGTGCCGATTGGTCTATAAAATAAAGGTTGAACTCTCTATGCCCATTACGCATAAAGGCGTGTAAAAGGGTCCTGTACTTTGACTATAGGTTAAGAGCACACACTGGAATGTGCTAGTTTATCCAGTACAAACAATAGCAAGTAAGTTTGTGAAGACTAGTGAGTTCGGTTATTGAGTACATACAAGAATGAGTTCGGTTATGAGTACATACAAAAATGAGTTCGGTTATGAGTACATACAAGAATGAGTTCGGTTATGAGTACACACAAGAATGAGTTCGGTTATGAGTACATACAAAAATGAGTTCGGTTATGAGTACATACAAAAATGAGTTCGGTTATGAGTACATACAAAAATGAGTTAGGTTATGAGTACACACAAGAATGAGTTCGGTTATGAGTACATACAAGAATGAGTTCGGTTATAAGTACATACAAAAATGAGTTCGGTTATGAGTACATACAAAAATGAGTTAGGTTATGAGTACATACAAGAATGAGTTCGGTTATAAGTACACACAAGAATGAGTTCGGTTATTGAGTCACTTTCCTGAGTACAAACAAGAATGCTGATGACTTACTTCCTTCTGGGGTGAAGATATCGATGGTGTCACTAGGAGGTCCCTGGTAGTGGCTGTTGACCACAACCACCTGGACTTTAAAGGTGGAGAAGGCTGGAAGATTTGACACCGACCCACTTGCTTGCTGACCTAATTCCATGGTGAGCCCAGACCAGGGGATGTATACGTCCTTGACTTCTTTCTCATCCCACTTGCGGTAGAGAATCTGTGGAATCATCATTATACGTTGAAATACACGTGTAGAGAGGTTTCATGTTAGCTTCTTCTGCAATATAATGATGTGTGCAAGCGGGACATGAATGATACAGGTACTGAAGCAGATTCGTGGGAATGAAAGGCCATGGACAGTGTGCTTCGATCTGAAACAAATCGGGAAGAGAAAAGGAATAAAGCAATAATCATTTTTGATAGTAGGAGAGCTGAGTGTCTAAGAAGAAGCAGAATAAAACACATGATGGCAACAACGGTCCTGAATTCCCATGTTCTAATTGTGGAAGATTTTTCTTAACGACGGCGGGTCTCGCTAGTCACACTCGCCATCGCAATGAGCTGTGAGTCCCATGCCTCCCTTTAGTACAATATAAAACTATCGTCTGGACAGACAGAAAGGTGCCCCCCCCCCCCCCCCAAAAAAAAAAAAAAAAAAAATGTATCTACAACATTCTCACGTTCCGTAATCAGTGTGAATAATTATTGCCGTCATTTTATGTTATAATACATACAATGCAAGGAGCGGTGTGGCCAGGGATTAGAAAGCTTAGCTTTAATTCTGGAAAACCGATTTTGAATCCTGGGTAAGGTTCTTAGAAACGTTTTCTGTCGGGTAAAACACATTACCAACATGCCCTGTTTGTAGCCATTGCACAGTTCACGCTGTCATAATTCTTCGGGTTCAAAAACTGCAACCCCCCCCCCCCTCTTTCTCTTCCATGCCCTCGCACACAATGAATTGAACATACGCTTACATATGTTATGAAATAGGCAAGGAAATTGGAAATGAATGGACTAAGCAAAGGAAGTCTACAATAACTCTACTAAGAACGTTGATGAGAGAGGCTCGGTGTGGTGGGACTGATTCTGTCCATAATATTGAGAAGGTGGAACTTGAAAGAACGGAATCGATTGGGAGACCCAAGTAACGTATCAGTGGCACAACGGGATGATGAACTGTTGTTAAACAGTAAGTTACTATTCTGTCCTAATCGAACTTACATCATAGCAACAATATTGCAACACAACGACAAGAAACAACACACAAACCTACCTTATACCCCCGAAACTTTCCTTGAATAAGCCTATCGTTGGGATCCACGGCCTCCCAGATAAAATGGGCTGTAGTCTGGGTCATGGGTCGTTTAGGATCCAGTTGAAAACCCACCACTGTCACGAGGGGTTCTGAAAAATGATTGACAAAAGGATGAGGTAACAGTTTTCCGCTGATTTTAACATGAAAGGAGCATTTCATGAAGCATTGGGAGGCATTGAAAAACGTTGTGAAGACTGGACAGATCAAAGGCAGAAGAGGCGGAGGCAGACCAGGAGTGAAGATGCTTGACGGTCTGAAGCAATCGTGCAGTTGAACATCATCAGTGGAACTGATTCAAAATACCAAGGACCCAGAGTCATAAGCACCAACGGTGTTACTCATGGCTAGTGATACTGAGAATGAGCGTTGTAGTGTTCAGAAACGTATGGTGGCGAAATCAGGAACGCAAAAGTACCTAGCTGAAATAAGTATTAGCTAATAAATAGTGTAGTCTGCGAACTCCAATAGGAGAAATGTAGCTACTGATGAGGTTGTGATACGATGGGAAGTATCAGTACAGAGGAGGAGGAGGAGCATTTTCAACGACCTGAGGCCTTTTAGATCTATGGTGATAGTCCGTTATATTTATAGACTAATCGGCACTCTCTGAGAGATGTTGGGTACCCGGATAGATGTCCTGGGGAAGTAAAGACGGCCGGCGTTTAGCTGACCACATTACCCACCTAGCGCCGATGGTGTGTAAAAATATGGGGCTCTCTTCACATATACCCGATACTCCTAGAGGCGTGAAAAGGGATCTTTGCATACTTACTTACTAAGAGGTGTAAATATCTTGATGTCTGCATTTACTTGTCGGCGTCTGTGCCTTAGGCGTTGCGAACTTGCTTCGTAATGCCATGGTACCGAGTTCGTTCCCAGCTGCGGACGATCTGTCTTGCTTTGGTTTTAACAGTGGTACCGAGAGCTGACCGTTCAGTAAGCACTGGCAAACTACTGAACGTAAAGTGTTCTTAGAAAAACCACAACAGCTAAAACATGATGGGGTTGGTTTTCCATGATACACGACTAATATTTTAACTCATTTACTATATTCCCCCAAGGTGTGGAAAACCCTTTACTTTTGAAAGAATAACAACAGACTGAGATGAAATTATTTTTGATTTTTGACTGGTTTGAACAGCTTCGAAAGAACTAACTTGCTTTGTGTTGTTCTCTTTCGTTGTTGTGGTCTAGGATTCAAGTGGATAAAGACTTTTGTCGACACGTTATGTTGTAACCGTATACATCTTTTCTTTTTCTTCGCTAAACACACTAGTCGAATTTTATGTGCATTAAGCTCTCGTTATGACTTCAGCTGCAGTTACCTCTGTTTTGACATCAGTTTGGCTTATTTTGGTTTGATTTCGTTTGATATGGTACAGTTTAATATGGGCTGGTTTAGTTTAGTTTGAGTTGGGTTGCAAAATGCTGGCATTATTTGATCACGGATGCCTCTGCATGTGCCTCCTGTCCAAGTTATTGATCAAGCAAGACGGATTTCATTACAGTGCAATAACGCTTTCGCACTAGCGATGTTTCCAGTATATACTTATACCAGAATACTACAGACAATTTATAAATATTCTGTTTATGTAGGGTTCCAATTTTAGAATGCAGTGGATACAGCATTTTACCAAATAAGGGTCAGAAAGATCTATGACTGGGTGACAAACTTCGGGTCCAATATAGGAGGGCTGGCTGTTGAAGCATTAACACGTTAGTTGCTACAGGCCAAGGCTGGCACAACTTCCCCATTTCTGGACTAGGAGTCTAAAATTTCGTTGTCCAGCACCTGGTCTGGGCGCTTGGTGCGACACAAGTAGCTGTAGCTGTTTTGGTTCTCAAGTACAATTGCAAAGGCAAATAGCATTATCGTCTGCGGTGGTGACAGGTACAGAACAGTCAATGGTGATGATAGTAATAAACAGAAGTCGGCTGACCTGCTTCAAAGCTTCTACCGGCATACACAAAGGCTGGCTGATGGGCCTCCCCCATATCGTTCTGAGACTTGACCTGTAGGAGAGAAAACAAATGTAATTTCTTCATCATTTGTCGTCGTCATCGTCATTGTCATCATCCTCCTCCTCATTATCATCATTATTATCGTTAGTAAAATTTTTGTCATCAACATTATCGACATCCTTTTCGCTGTCGTCAGTATCACCAGCTTCACCAGATCATCACACACGTAATCTGTTCAGGAAATGATCCAAGGTATTGCAACTGAGATACAGCTAAATACTGAAGCAAATGAAGTCTAACCCAATCAAATACAAAAACATGATTGAATCAATCAATAACTCGTACTGCTCAGCTTTTTCTTCCTTCTCCTCGTTTATCTTTCAAGAGCAGCACTTCAGACTTGGGCATGCACCTCCCAAGACCAGAGATCATTGCGTCCGTCTTTCTGTTGCCATTGTATAATGCTTGATTTACCAGAAAATTAGAAGTAAAGGCTGTCGGTGTGATACTGATCAAATCCCTCACCGAGTACCGATCAGTTTCTATAAAAGGAATGTACTGTGTGTTCGATGCCCTAATGACGTGGGAAAGGGCTATTTGCTTTATCTACTTTTTAGATGACACATGGTCTTCTGATGTGGGTAGTAAGGTACAACAACCATTAACATTCTCAAAGCCACGCAGGGCAGATTTAAACCTCTTCTTCTTGGCTTTCACCGGCTGTTAACACCGGCAGAAATTTCTCCTTGTTCTATCACCGGCTGTTAACACCGGCAGAAAGTTCTCCTTGTTCTATCATCGGCTGTTAACACCGGCAGAAAGTTCTCCTTGTTCTATCACCGGCTGTTAACACCGTCAGAAAGTTCTCCTTGTTCTATCACCGGCTGTTAACACCGGCAGAAAGTTCTCCTTGTTCTATCACCAGCTGTTAACTCCGGCAGAAAATTCTCCTTGTTCTACCACCGGCTGTTAACTCCGGCAGAAAGTTCTCCTTGTTCTACCACCGACTGTTAACACCGGCAGAAAGTTCTCCTTGTTCTACCAACGGCTGTTAACTCCGGCAGAAAGTTCTCCTTGTTCAATCACCGGCTGTTAACTCCGGTAGAAAGTTCTCCTTGTTCTACCACCGGCTGTTAACTCCGGCAGAAAGTTCTCCTTGTTCTACCACCGGCTGTTAACTCCGGCAGAAAGTTCTCCTTGTTCAATCACCGGCTGTTAACTCCGTCAGAAAGTTCTCCTTGTTCAATCACCGGCTGTTAACTCCGGCAGAAAGTTCTCCTTGTTCTACCACAGGCTGTTAACTCCGGCAGAAAGTTCTCCTTGTTCTACCACCGGCTGTTAACACCGTCAGAAAGTTCTCCTTGTTCTATCACCGGCTGTTAACTCCGGCAGAAAGTTCTCCTTGTTCTACCACCGGCTGTTAACACCGGCAGAAAGTTGTCCTTGTTCTACCACCGGCTGTTAACACCGGCAGAAAGTTCTCCTTGTTCTACCACCGGCTGTTAACTCCGCCAAAAAGTTCTCCTTGTTCAATCACCGGCTGTTAACTCCGCCAAAAAGTTCTCCTTGTTCTTTTAATTACGGTTTTGCTCTAGAGCCTGAGTTTGACTTGCACGTCCTTATAACAGTTAATTTGTGTGCAGACTTTTGGTTTTTCGCCTTTAATTGTTGTACTTCGACATGGAAGGAAACGGCCCTAATTAGCCACTGTTTACAGCATGCTTGTCAAAGGGGCAGTAGGTCTATTCCACCCCCCCCCACCCCGGAAAAGGGCCCCATAGACCCACACGGTGGACCTCAAACCAATAACGGTGGCTTTAAAGGAAATTTAACTTACTTGTACAAAATAAGTAACAGTAACAACTGCAACTGGGTGCAATTATTATGTAACCGAATAATACAACAGGCCAAGACAAACAGGCAAACTAAACACAAAGTGAAATAATGAGGTCGTTGGCACGCTGTGAGTTAAAACAAAATTGACCATCACGAGCGTACCTGGAACTCATACAGACTGTAGACTTCATCGACTTCTTGTTCAAATCTGGAAGCGTAGGTTCCGTTAACGGTTGCAGAGTTCCAGGCTAAACTGCCCTTTCTTCTCCATAGGACGAAATAACAGAATCCAGGTCCATGGAATGACAGGCGATGAAGAGGCTGCACAAAAGGAACATCCTTTAGTATTGCGGATAAAGAGTAATTGAGTATTCACATATAAAACAAAAACTCTCGGTATAAGAATGAAGATTTAATTTAAAGCCGCAAATGACAGGGTATCATTGTGAAAACTGGGCCGAGGCCAGACATGATATTGAACTTGGCCGAAGAGCCTAAGCTTATACTGATAGAGCTAGCGTGCGGTATGAGCAAGAATCTAAGATCAGCCTCTGCACAAGCTCGAGAAGTACAGCCATCTGGTAGCTAGTCTCAGGACTGATGAGGGGTTTGCAGTTAGACTTTTGGCGGTCGATGTAGGCGCAAGAGGTCTAGTTGCACACTCCACAAAAATTTCGCGAAGCAGCTTGGCTTGCGAGGAAATGAGCGTAAACATGCCCTGCTGCAAATGGGCTAAGTGGCCGAGAGAAAGCTTCGAGCCGGCTCCGGGTAACCGAAACGACGTGTGAGATAGCCCTCGGCCGAAACCCTAACGGAAGCATACATTTTAAAGTTTTCGGAATCAGACTGTCCGATCATAGTCTGCCCAAGCAGCTTCTGTTTAAATCTGTTGGAGCAATATCTGTCCGATGAAGCAACAGTCAATTTGTCAACCTGGCTCGTATAGGCAGGCGGTTAATGTGCAACCACGCACTAGCGACAATCACCATATCCATCGTCACAGCATGATAATTCCGAGGTCTGGGAGTGACGACGCATGTCAATCCGTCTCCAGAAATTGTCTAGGGGTTAAATATTTGAAATCGGCTTACGGCTACTAAAGATGGATGGCCTCTAGCTGTGCATGCTTCCGTTCGTTGAGTTTTTCTTCTTCTTTTCTAAACATTGAGAGCAGAAATAATGTGCGCCTAACGATAACCCCATGCACACCGATCCTGCCTATAAGGTCAAGATGATGATAATAATACAATGTGTCGTCTACACTATGAGAGATGTAAAAGTAAAGGACCCTTTTCCAAGGTCATTTGTGGGGAAAAAATTAAGTTTCGTCAGAACCCGAACCAATGGGAGGTGGCAACTATTCATATCAATGGCGCTGGAACCTGAAGGTTTAGTTAGTTGGGAGGGGTGTAAAGCGCCAAAGCAAGGACTAGCACTCTTGCGGCGCTAATTCCTCTCTAAAACGTATAACGGGAGTGATCCTCCCCTGCCATAATTGTTTGCTACTGTATCGCCTCTTTATCTACTTATCTGCATCGACTACTATCTTTGGAAACGTGGTGAGGTCACAATCTCAGATCATCGGAAGGTGTACTGAAGCCAACCTTCACTGTGAAGATGACACTAAATATTGATATATTTAGAGATACATTTTAAAACAGAGGAAAGAACAGAGCCACACTAAAAGATATAACTCTGTTCTAAACACGATATTAGAGTGACACGTTAAAGGATAGTGAACTAGAGCGGTACAGGTTTGTAGATGCATGAACAGTAGTCTCAGAGAGCAGTGAACAGGCATGTAATGTACGTGGTCGTCGACTGTGATAACCTTACAGAAAAGTGAAACAGTTAGTCGCGTATCCTTTACAGGATGCTGTAGAACTAACAGTCAACATTTTTTAGCTAATATGATTTTCCTAGACAAATTTTACGTTTAGTAGTTTGATACCATTGACGAAACCAGCACAAGACGGTCTACTGCCACATCGCCTGCAGCTTGGATGGAACCGGGCACCTCGGTATTACGAAGCACGTTCGTAACGCTCAAGCCATAGACGCTGACTACAAAAAAGTAAAGATCCTTTCACGCAGGTTGCGCATCAGGCTTATCCTGTTCTTCTTCTTCTCGCTCACCGGCTATAAACTCCAGAGGAAAGTTCTGGCTGTTCGTCCACATCGGGACTTTTTCTTTTTCCAGAACCTGTGTGTTGCATGCTCATCCGTTTACAATAACTGGTTTATCTATATCTACGATATAAAGATGTGTGCAAGCGGGACATAAATATAAGAGGTACTGAGGTGGACTCGTGGGAACAAAATGCCATGGACCGTGTTGTGTGAAGGCGCACATCAGGAAGAGAATGAGAATATAGGAAGAAATAATTGCAGAAAGGAACGAAGGAACTTTATTTTCAAAGGGTCACAAATTGGGCACGCAGGCCCGTCTTACATTTGGCCCTTCCAGTCAACCATCTTTCGCACAGCAGTGTATTTTACAAATAAAGTATGTTTTGATGATATGATGATATGCATATTATGAATATTATAAAAGAACACAAAAGCATGAGTTGTAAAGTGCATGCCAAAACCCGCGCGTGCATACATACACCCACATACACACGCTCACCCTCTCACTTACACACACATACATGCATGCATACATTACATACATACATTACATACATACAGGCATACATACATACATACATACATACATACATACATACATACATACATACATACATACATACATACATACATACATACATACATACATACATACATACATACATACATACATACATACATACATACATACATACATACATACATACATACATACATACATACATACATACATACATACATACATACATACATACATACATACATACATACATACATACATACATACATACATACATACATACATACATACATACATACATACATACATACATACATACATACATACATACAAACATGCATACAGGCATACACACATACACACAGGCATACATACATTCACACAAAGATACATACATACATACAAACATACAGGCATACATACACACGTACATTCCTACATACATACGTAATACAAACATACACACATACAAACATACAGTCATAAATACAGTCATGCATGGAGACACACACATGCACACACGGACACTCCCACAGAGACACACACACACTCACTTAGACAAAAATACAGACACACACACAGACACTTGCATATAAACACACACAGGGAAACACACAGCGCACATATATATTTCGTGCTCACACACTGACACACACACACACACACACACAAATATATACGCAGACAAACATGCAGACACATACATACAGTCACATAGACACACACGCAGTCAAACACACACACACACAAATACAGACAAACAGGCAGACAAACACATACTGACACCCACACAGACAAACACGCAGAAATGCATACACATACGAACACATAGAAATACTCACGCAGACACATATATTCAGCACGCACACACATATACTCTGACATGCAGACACATACAGACAACAAAGGGGCACACACAATACACACAGAGAAACACACATAGACATGCACAGACAGACAGACACATGCTGACACATACACTCAGGCAGACAGACATACAGACACCCACACACAGAGATACATACATACAGCCTCATAGACACACCCGCAGACAAAACACATAAACATACACAGGGAAACATGCAGACAAACACATACGGGGACACACACAGACACACACGAAGATATGCACACAGTCACATCAAATATGCAGAAAAACACCGAGACACACACACACATGCAGACAAACACAGAGACACACACACAGACACATATACACAGTCACATATACACAGCTACATGTATCCAATCGCACACATACACACGCAGACACACATACACAACAAAGAGGCACACTTAAACACACGGAAACACACACAGACCAATTCACACTAAAACATACACGTGGACATACGCGCGACCACACACACATTCGCACACATACACAAGGACACAGACGCATACATTCGCAGACACACAAGCAGATACACAAGCAGACAAACAACATACTCAGAATCATATGTACACAAGGACACAGACGCATACATTCGCAGACACACATGCAGATACACAAGCAGACAAACAACATACTTAGAATCATATGTATACAAACACGCCTACACATACATACATATCACACACACACGCGCGCAAACATTATTATCATACACACCTTGTTTAATAATAAATTGATAATGCAATATGGGTTACATTACATTCAAGGTGGCATATAATCGCTTGTAAGTATGAATTGAAAAAGTTTACGGTTAAATGAATAGGGACTTTTAGAATTTTTCAGGTCTAGTGGAAGTTGGTTCCACAAATGAGCAGCGGAGTACGCTAAACTTGTTTTATATAAATCTGTTCTAGGTTTAGGTAAATGTAATAAATTTAGTCGCTTGCTATTTATAGGATTTGATTTAATTAATCGGAAAAGGTTTGGAGTATTTTGAGATAACATTTTATGAATAAATTTGGCCTTGTTAAAAATTAAACGTTTGCTAAAGGGCAATAGTCTTAGATGGTTATAGAGATTATTTTTACTATATGTTTACTATCTGAAACCAGGCGTAAAGCACGGCTTTGAAGAGAACTTAGTCTTTTAACATTGGATTTGGCGCAACCATCCCAAACTGTGGAACAATAGTCGACATGTGTTTGGATGTAAGACGCGTAAAATACATTTGTTGCATCTTCGTCTTAAAAGTGCTGAATTTTGGCAAGCTGATAAACTTTTTGTGCTATTTTCTTAGTTATGACAGAAACATGAGAATTCCAGGTTAAATGGTTGTCAATTGTTAGGCCTAAAGTTTTGTGTTCCGTTACATTAACAATAGGTAATTTATCAATGTAGAGCTCGAGTGTCGGCTTGTGCAGTACTAATGTTTGCAACTTTTGTCTGGTTGTTATAAGCATAGACTTCGTTTTATTTATGTTAATTTGCATGCGATTGCTGTTGCTCCATTTACAAAGATTGTGTACTTCTTTCTGTATAGATCTTTCTAACTCACTACGATTCTCATTACTAGTATATATTGTACAGTCATCAGCAAATAAATCGCATGTTATACTAAGATGTAATGGAAGGTCGTTAATATACGTGGTAAATAGTAGTGAACATAGAATCGACCCCTGTGGCACGCCCATATTTAACTGAGTGGATTCTGACAGGCGGTTGTTGAAGGATACTACTTGCTGTCTATTAGATAAAAATGACCGCATTATTTCGACT